CATTATATGTCAATTCATATACAAAGAGCCTTTGACAAAAACTTTATGTGCATTCATGATGGAAACTCAGAAACCTCAGCATAGACCCCTGCTCAACGTGATTAAAAAAGCATCTACAAAACAACAAAAACCTCACTACATCCAACATCATGCTTTTTGTTTTGTTTGTTATTGGCAGTGCTGAGAATCAAATCTAGGGCCTTGCGCATGCTAGGGAAATGCTCTGCCACTGAACTACATCCTCAGCTCCCATGCTTAATAGTGAAACACTCTTTACCGCTGAGATGAGGAACAAGGCAATTCATTCAACACAGGTCTAGCCAGTGAAGTAAGGCAAAGAGAGAATTTGTTAGAATAAAAGGCACATAGATTGGAAAGGAAAAAAATAAACACTTTCTTTATGTTCAGATGACATAAATTATCTATGTGTAGAACCTCCAAAAAAAAACCAACAATCTTTTAGAATCAGTGAGTTCAGCTAGGTCACAGTATTTCTATATAATAATGAATTTGTGCCAGTTGAAATAAAAAAATACCATGTATACCTGTTCCTCCCTAAATGAAATATTTAGGAATAAATCCAACAAAACACATAGGATGTAAGTCTTGAAAATTATAAGAATTGATGAAAGTAAATCAAAGAAGATTTAAGTCAATGGAGAGCATACTATGTTCACAAATTGAAAGATTCAATATAGTAAAAATGTCACTTCTTTCCAAGCAACATTTTATACATAGCGATAAGCTTATTCTTAAGTTTATATAGAAAAATGAAGCAATAGAATAACTAAACAGTTTTGGGAAAGAGTAATGAGGTGAGAGAAATCATCTTATTTTAACTTTAATATTTACTCTATGGCTGTAGTAATCAAGACAGTGTATTTTGGTGGAGAGAAAAAACACATCATGGAATACAATAGAAAGCCCAGTGCACCCAGCTGATTTTTTTTCTTGTCTTTCAACAAATGGTTTATTGATGTAACCAATGACAAAATACCTAGTATCTTTTTTCTAGACTTTATGGTCACTCCATAGCCTGCATCTTTGGAATGGGGAAGGGGTTTGTTTTCCCATAATCATAAAGCTGTCATGCTCAATCTAATTCATCTAGGTAACTCAATCTAGGTCCATGTAGTATGTCCTCAACCCACTCCTTTTAATTTCATCTGTTTGAGTCACTCATAGAAGAACACTGTTGGCAGCAATATCTAGCAGCATGTTCAAAATTCATTTTGTCTTGAATGAAAAACTTAACTATTCCATTAATTCAATAATTCCATATAGCCTTATTACTATTTCTGTACAGAAGATATGATCCGTCAACATTTCCATTAGCATTTCCCATGTTTCTTTTTTTACTTTTTTTTGGTGGTACTAGAGTTTGAACTCAGGGCCTTATGCGTGCTAGGAAGGCATTCTACCACTTGAGCCACTTTGCCAGCTCTTCCCATGTTTATTGAGGATTCTCAAAGACTTTGAGAGATTCAAAGAGTAAGCTCCCAAGAGAGCTGTTTAAAGTAAGACCCTGTGCATGGCTCAGTTTCCAGTATATGAAGGGATTCAGTACAATCCCCTAGTTCTCAGTTCATAGAAAAAGGAATTTGGGAGGGATAAATGTAGTAACTGCCTATATTATTTGATAGCCTTACCCAGCTGATTTTTGATAGATAGGCAAAACCAATTCAACAGAAGACCAATAGTCTTTTCAATAAACAGTGGATATCCTTAAGCAAATAAATAAATGAACCAAGATCTAAATCTCACATTATATTAAAATAATTAATTCAGAATCATGGATTTAAATGTAAAATGTAAAACTGAAAATAACTAAGCATAAGAGAAAATATTTGGAAAGTAGGACCAGGTAGAGTTACACTATAAAGACATGAGCCGGGCTCTATGGCTAACTCCCAGCTACTTGGGAGTTGGAAATCAGTGGGATCAAGATTCAAGGCCACCCAAGGCAAAAATGTTAGCAAGATCCCATCTCAATCAATACGTTGGCTATCATGGCCCATGCCTGTGATCTCAACTACATGGGAGGCATAAGAATGTAGTCCCAGGATGGCTGGGCAAAAAAGCAATACCCTGTCTGAAAAATAGCCAAAAGCAAAAAGGGCTGAAGGTGTATCTTAAGTGACAGAAGCCCTTTCCTAGCAAACTCAAGGCCCTGAGTTCAGAGACCTCTGTATTAAAACAAAAAGCAAAAAAAGACATTACACACAAAATGCTCAAACAATAAAAGAAAAAAAAAGGTAAGTGGATAAATTGGACTTCACCAAATTAGGAAACTTTGCTTTGTGAAAAGGCCTATTAAGTCAACAGACAGAGAAGCTACCAGAAGAAAATGTTCAGAAATCATATAGCAGCAGTTCTTACTTTGTGTTTTCACATGGAACTATAAAAATGACTGTACAAGCTGAAACTCTGCAAGGCAAACTTAATAATCAATGGAAAAATTATGATTGCTCCATGACCTTTAAAATTTTTGGCAAATATTAAAAACTACATTACTATCAGTTGTAAATATATATAGAAATGAAAAAGTAGCAATACTAATACTTATTTAATTCACTGTAATTTAAAACTTCTAGCACTTCTAGAACATTGAGAATTAAAGTTTTCATTTCTTTCTAAAAAAATTTTGTCAAAGAGTAGTTTGAACAGTACTTATTTTTTCATAGTATAACATGACATGGAACAAGCGTCTTTTCTATGTCTTGGGAAATTATCGTGCTATTTTTTAAGTATGGGTCAGCTTCCAGAATTTTATCAGTTATGATTTCAGTGTTAGAAAATTTTGTAGAGTCCCTGTAATGTGAAGATCTTTTGCCAGTGTCACTTTATTTTTTCTATGACTTTATTAATTCATGTTTGGAAGTTTGCCTTTTCTAAGCTCCTGTGGCTGCACGTCTAGTTTATTAAACAGCAGCAGTATCAACATTCCCAGATCCACTCTAACTTCATGTATGTTCAATTTGTATTTTACTAATAAAGTTACCACTTTCCTTCCTTTGTTGCCCTTTCACCTTTACTGGCCAATTCTTTTTCAGTTGTTCATTTTTGTGAGCTATTACATGGGTTTATTATATATTTTGCATCTGTGTATGAGCTGAATAAAAAATGCCAAGTGACCTCATCACTGACAGACTTTGAAATAAATCATGTGATCAGTCACTGCTTATGGAAGGCATTAAAAAATTATGTAGTGATTTTGGAATTCAGGAGCTAGCAGCAAAGTTGATACTTTATACAGTTACAGTTTCAGGAAAAAAAAAATTAGTAACTACCCAGGCACAGGGATGGGAGGAAATAGAGAAGTAGGATAAGGTATGGCTATAAAGAGGTTACACAATGGAGGTGCTTGGTGGTGGTGGAATGATGTCACAGCTTGACTATGCTTATAGCTACACAAATCTGTACCTTGGATTAAACTGTGTAGAATGATTACACATACATGCAAATGAGTACATGTAAAAGGTGGTGAAATTTAAGGCCTATAGATTAGTTAATAGTATTATAGTGTGTCCTTTCTTGATTTTTACATTGTACTGTCATTATGAAACATGTTACTATTGGGGGAAGCTGGATAAAGGGTGGATAAAGCGTGTATGATGTTTTCTACTATTTTTGTAATTTCCTGTGAGTTTATAATTACTTCTAATAAAAATTTTCTCTCCCTCCCTCCCTTCCTTCCTTCCTTCCCTCTCCCTTTCCCTTCCTCTCTCTTCCCCCTCCCTCTCCCTCTTCCCCTCCCTCCCTCCCTCTCTCTCTCTCTCTCTCCCCTCCCTTCTTCTTTTGTTTTTTGTTTTTAAAGGCCTTTTTCAGGGCCAGGAACCATCATCTTTGTGAAGCCAAGTATCCTACCGTGCTCACTTGCCTGTGTCCCATAGCTTTAGCCTTCTAGACCTCTTTGCCTGGCTTTGGCCACCATTCATAGTTCTCTAGCTGAGTTTAGGGAGACCTATTCACATTGTTCCAGCCCCAAAAATCAGGTCGTGGTGCCCCATAAATGTGATTGCTATGCTAAAATAGTCTTTTAAAAGAGGCTGATTCATGTCTTTGGTTGGTGTTTCTATGGAATGTTTATAATGGGGAGAGTAATCCATTTGGAGCTGACAGCTGCTCATCATCCTGCTTTTTATAAGTATTCTTGCCTTTTAGTTTTTCTTAGAGGATAGATACATAAACCACTGTAACCTTTCAGACTCTTTTAAGCACTGTCCACTAAAATTGGAAAGAAAATACGAGTATCATATATGTAAAGTACCCAATTAAAGTCTTTTATTCACCTCCAACATAACTTCATTTTAAAAATCTTTATATATATGTGGGGGTGGGGAGGGATTGAGATAAAATTGTTTGAGATTTGAGTATAGTACATACAGTAATTTAGCCACTTCAAACAGTTGAACAAATTGTACACCTGTGGTTAGATTGACAGTAATGACAGTGATTTAATTTTCATCAGCAAATTGCTCCTGCTCTGACAGCTCTTACCCACACTTTCCTATATCTGGGTTTCCCTAAAATGTTGCTGGGTTGGGTAGTGCAAGGCCAAGCTATTCTCTGATTTGGAAGGTAGAGAACCATGGTATAGATTATTTTATTTTAGACCTAACCCATCTCATGTGAGATTTAAGGTTGTTTAGACCTAAGCCATCTTATGTGAGATTTGGGGTTGACAGTAAGCTTGTGTTGCTTTCTCTGACCTCATCAATTGCAACAAGACTTTTCCTTTTTCCTGAACAGTGGAAGTCAGACTCAAATGAACCTGGGAAAATCTTGAGTGTGTTTCTAGAGCAGAAACCTATCAGTAGACTCTGAGCTCTCTTTACCCTAGACATCTTAGAAGGTATCAGGATTTTTGATAGTGTAGATTAGTGAACATTGTGAGTCTTGGAACAGCAGTTCTATAAGGATGAGTATCCATGGTAAACCACAGAAGTTTTGGGGAGATTTCTGTAATCAATTAATCACTTCTTTGCTGCTTTCCTTAGGCAAGGCAGGCTGAGGTAAAGCAACTCTTCCGTCCCATTGAGGAGCTAAAGAAGGAATTTGATGAGCTGAATGTTGTCATTGAGACTGACATGCAAATCATGGTACGGTTGATCAACAAATTCAACAGTTCCAGCTCCAGCCTAGAAGAGAAGATTGCTGCACTCTTTGATCTTGAGTATTATGTCCATCAGGTATTGTATTACTTTGTCCATCAGTCTGAATTTTAATTAGCAGCTCCAAAAATAGCCCCCTACCCTAAACCCTGAGAAAACAGCATCAGCATCTTCTCTGCCAAGGCATGGACTGTTTCCAATCTAGGCCAATGTCTGTTGTGATTAGATATATTATTAGAGGTCAGAGCCAACCTCTTTTTCATTTACACTGTTACCTCCTTTATTTTTTCAACACTGAGTATACTGAAGAGACAAAATAGCCATAGTCTCTGTCCCATGTAGTTTATAGTCTCGAAGGGGAAACAATTAAATAATGAACAATTGAATAAATTAACAATTAAATGATGAGATAGTTTAAGATCGAGATAGGGCTTCTGAACGCAATATAGGAGTATATCATAGGGGAACTTAGAACCTAGTCAGGGGGGAATAAAGGATGGCTTCTCAGAGGATGTGCCATTCAGACTGAATGTTCAAGGAGGATTGGGAGTTGGCTAGGTAAAAAGGAGAAACTAAAACAAGATGACAGCTATAATCCATTGGCTACATCTGGCATAATACTGATATTTGCAAATAAAGTTTTATTGAGACACAGCTACCCCTATTTGTTGATATATTATTTATGACTGTTTTCATGCTACAGTGGCAGAGTTGAGTAGTGATATCAGAAACCGTATGGCTCGCTAAATCAGAAGTATTTACTGTCAGGCCCTTTAGAAAAAGTTTGCCAGTCCTTGAATTAGAGCATTCCCAGCAGAGTAAACAACATGAGCAAAGATTCTGGGGAAGAGAAGAGCTTGGTGAGGTTGAGGGCCTAGGGAAGATTAGAATGACTGGAGCACAGTGGCCAGGGGGAAGGTAGCATAGATAAAATGGAAGCTGGGAAATCAGAAAGGTAAGATTGGGAATATTATGCTCTTTGTGATTTTTAGCCTTAATCCTAAGAACCATTTGCTAGTACAAAGTAGAAAAGTAACTGATAGGGTTTCTAATAGCTAGTATTTATTGAGCACTACTGTATACCAGCATTGCTTGGTATACATACAAAGACATTGCTTTGTATGTATTAATTCATTAACTTCCATAGCTACCTTAAACCTGTGTGTGTGTGTTTGTATGTGTGTGTGTATGTATGTGTTTGGGATGGGGGCTCACTATGTTGCTCAGGCTGTTTTTAAATTTCTGGGCTCAGGGAATCCTTCTGTCTCAGGCTCCTGGATAGGTGGGACTATAGGAAAGAGCCACCATGCCTAGCCAATCACATTTTTTAACTGAGGAAAACAAAGCACAGAGAGTTTATCTGATTGTTCAAAATCACCCAGCTAATAAGTGTAGAGCTAGGATTTGCAATAAGATCTGTCTGACCCTTACAGTCTGAGGTTTAAAACTTTTTGGCCAGTCTTCTCACAGAAAACTGGTATCTTTTTGAATGAAGCTCAAAGGGAATAGGTAGAGGTAAGGAGGAGTTGATGAATCCATTCATTTATTCAGTAAATGAATTTATTGAGTGCCTGCTAAGTTCCAGGCAACTGAGATACATCTGTATACAAAATTGGCACTTAACCTTTTAGCAGAGGCAAAGAGACAAACATGCCAAAGAAGTAAATTGTAAACAATATGTTTGAAAAGTGATATATACTATGGAAAAATAAAAAGGAGAAGCAGGGTAGGAGCTGGTAGTGTTGAGAAGGAGCATCTCAGGTAGAGGGAACAGCAAGTATAGAATTCCTGAGGTAGGAGCATGCCTAGTATGTTTGAGGAATTACAAGGAAATCAGTATAGCTGGAGCTGGGAGAAAGGGAAGAAAAGAAGCAGATGAAGCTCACAGATAATGAGAGGAAGAATATGGAGGCCTCATAAGTCATGGACAAGAGTGGAATAAGAGGACATTGAGCAGAAGAACGACAGGATCTGATTACTTTTAAAAAGACCTCTCCAGCTGCTGTGTTGAGAATTACAGTGGAGGCAGGGGGCCTGGGTAGAAGCAGAGACCAGGTAGGAGGTTATTGAGGTAATCCAGACTATGGGCAATGGTGGCCCAGGAGGTTGTGTAATCATAATCAAAGGCTTCTTTGAGATCCTTATCCAGGCATAGATCCTCAGTGTCCTGTCCACACATGAGAGCTTCCTTGTTCTCTGTAAACTAGGCTAAAAGACACTTTTTCTTTGTTTAGAATTTTGTCAACTTCTGTGGTGAAAGAACATGAGTGTGCACTGTATCTGCAGGAATTATGGGGCAGCTTCTTCATCTTCTTTCTCTGCTCATAATTCTTTCTCAGGCCTCAAATAGGGCTATGATCCTCTTAGAGAAAAAATAAACTTGGGTTCTCTTTCCCCTTTTCAGTCTTTAGGGTAAAAACAAAACTCCCCACTGCTTTTCCATTAGCCGTATTTAAAGGATTAAGGTTCCTAAGGGTTTTTGGCCAGCTCAGTCTTCTGATGTTGACAGCTTTTATTTTTTGTTTTTTTCATCCTAACATACTTGGATGCATCTTTAGGTATGAAGTTTCTGAAGGCTTTTGCTTTAGTTGTACATGAAAGACCAAAATGACTAGAGGCTTATCATACATACAGGAATGAGTACACAGGAGGCTTGGGTTAGCAGTGACCCAACAAAGCAACCCCCCCCCACCCCACCCCCTGCGCCTTGCAGGTCTGAAGGAATGAAGGACAGACTGCGGGAAGTCCCAAAAGGGTGATAAGTGGTCAAGGAGACACTTCTCCTCCCTAGGAAATGCCTGTTTGCATTCGAAAGGCATCTCCACCCTCAGGCAATGCAAACTAGGCTATAAAACCCACTCCCCACCCTGACCCAGGGGATCACCGGTTTCTGGGTCCCCCTGCATTCTCCAATATGCAGTCTTTCTCTTCTCTTTTCTCCAACTAAATTCTCTGCAAATAAAATCTTTCCGACCTCTGCTGTTAGAGTCTGTGCTTTCATTCTCAGAGCAGGCTCAAGAACCTTGAGCATCTGAAATTCCTGTGTGTGTCATCTGTGCATCAGGTTTTCTGTTTACCTGGTAGTGTCATACCTAGGGTGATGTCCCATTCTGTTTTCACAGGTCACTGGGAAGGGTAAACAGTGTTTTGGATATCACCAACTCAGCCTGAGGTCATTGTGGGAACCATTCCGCTGGTCAAGGCCCAACTAGTTCTGTTGGCAGGAAGGTCATAAATGTTCAGGCTGTCGGCATTTTGATTAGAAGTCTAAGGTCCTTGGCTTGGGCTGGTCTATCAGGCTGCCATATAGCAGTGATAAGTTGCTATTTCATAGGAAGATTCCAGAACACACCATTCAGCTCAATTAGTTGGGTTATGTGATGTTAGCTTTGAGGAAGATAGGACTTTTCTAGCAAAGAACTTCTCAGTTCATTCCCATTCTAGACTCACTGGAATCGTGGACTTCAAGGACCTGAACTGGGTCTGCCTAAGGATTCCTCACAGCCAGATTTTAATTATTAAGGCAGGGTATGTGAAAAGCAAAATCTTGTGTGTGGAAAACAGATTGTGAGTTATTTATGAGAAATGTCCTATGTCTACCTGATCTGCTTTGGGGTAGTATATTTGCCTTCCCTCACATGACTCTTCAATTATTTACCTCCATTTCTCCCTCTAATTTCTTTCTTATTCTCTCATTGTTTTGTCAGTGTTTTGGTTCATTTCTTTCTTCCCAAATGTTGGTATAGTTCCCTTCATCCCTTTCCTAATGCATTCTTTATCTATATTCATCTCCACCTGCCCCACCCCATCCTAAAGGAACCTGAGAAAAGTTCTGACTTCAGATCCAAAAGAAGAGCTCTGTACCTGGGCTCTAGTCATGCCATATCCTGTGTAACTCTGGGGAGAACCCAGCTTTTGGTGTGCAGTGAGTCAGAATGGCTTTTCTTTCTCACTGCCAGTGAAATAAAAAATGAGAGAACACCTTACAAGGCTAAAGTGCATATGTAAATATCAGCTCTTATATCACACTGAATTATTATTGTGGTAATTGAGATAACTGTGTTGATTTGGGACTGATAGGGTAGTAGCTGCTTTGCCAAGAAGTTATACCAGCTTTGAAATAGTGGCCATCACAGATATGGGATAACAAGATTCTGAGTCATGGTCTTGTATCTGGAAAACCTAGAGTAAAGAGGATCAAAGGATAGGCAACAAATTCATATATTTTAAATCAGAGCATGGAAGGATGGAAGGAAGGAAAGAAGGGAGAGAGGGAGGGAGGGAGTTTATTGTTAGCAAAGCACTAATTTTGAGTCTCCCTAGTAAGCTGAGCTGTGGCTCAATAGTCATTCCTCATGAGGACAGATTGGGGCAGAAAAATCTGTTAGGGTACGAGGCCGGCCACCTTCTGAGAGGACAAAGGACACTCGAGACAAAGGAAGTCACAAGGCGAGGTTTATTTTCTAGCTAGCTAGGGTCCAAGCATCCTCCTGACAGCAGGTTTCAACAAGGACCCTGAATGCAAAGTTTAAGCAGGTCTTACACTCTTTAAAGCATCAATCATTGTCACATAGGAATTCCTCATGCCCCTGGGGTCACATTTTCCTGACACTGCCCACATCCTGGTGGTGGGGTAAGATTATTTATTGGGAACTGGAGAAACACCAGAGGTTTACTTATCAGGTTACAAGGAATGTGTTCTCCCATAAATTAGGGGCTAGTAGTGGAATAGAAACCTAAGGTTTAGATAAGAACAGCAGGGGAGTCCTGTTTTGGAAAGTTTATTTACAAGTAGAGACAAAGGCAGGAATGGGTGCTTATCTCTGCATGGTGCCTTTTATCTTGGTCCCAAACTTTTGCATGGCTCTAATGGGCAATTCCTCACAGCTTTGTCCGAGGTTACAGGTTTTAACTGACAGTTTACCATGTTTTACAACCCTGTTTCAAGGCTATCTTCCTCTTCACGAGGTTACCCAAGGGTCATGCCAGTTATAGCTGATTTTTAGGCTAGGTGGGCTGCAAGTTAAAGTACCCCAACAAATCCTTACCCTGGCCTGAGGCCATGTGGTAGACCAGAATTCATGCTTACTTCACAGCTTCAATTGGTATTTTTTTCAGGTCTGCAGTACCAGAAGCCCATCTTCTTTTGTTAGCATAGATATCACAGATTGCTTTTTTAAAAATTCACAGTGGCATTTTATTTTAGGAATAATTTTTCCTGATCAAATACATATTCATCAGTGCAATGATTTATTTATTGAGTACCTAACTGTATGCTCAGCAGTAGTCTAGTCATTGGAACTACAACAGTAGATGAACATTCAAAAACCCCTGCTTTTGTAGAGATTCTATCAAAGTGTATAAAAATTATCTTCCAAGTGATAAAAATAGGATAGGACCAACAAAAACATGGGCTAAGCCAGATACTGTGCTTCACACTTGATTTTTCTGTTAGAATCTACTTCCAGTTTGAAGTCTGAGGCAAAGGCACAGTTAGGTAGGAAATGGCTCTGTAGTTCTTGGGGGGGAAAAGTAGATAGCTGTCACACTGGTATTGGACTTTGGCTTCCTAAGTTTTCCTGATGATTGGATCAGCATGTGGACAAGAGACAGCCTTGGAGTGGGGTGTGTGGGGTGGGTGGGGTAGGGAGATAGGGAGATAGATAGACAGACAGACAGATAGGTAGACAGGGAGGGAGAGAGACAGAGAGAGAAAGAGGAGATTAATTCTGATTTTTTTCACATATAATGTAAATGTAGGATTTAGCAATTTAATAGGAAAAATGATAATTTATTTTAAAATAATAGTCAAAATGTCACAAAAATCACATGTCCATTACAAGTCAAACTAGAGATGTGTAAGAATTCAGTACTATAAGGGCTGGAGGTGTAACTCAACTGGTAGAGGGCCTGCCTAGCAAGTATGAAGCCCTGAGTTTAAACCCTAGTACCTCCAAACAACAAAACAAAACAAAAAACCCAAGAGAGAAATCAGAGTACCATGCCAGGATTTAGTGGACATGCCCATAATCCCAGCACTTGGGTGGCAGAGGCAGGAAGATCACGAATTTGAGATCAGCCTAGGCTACATAGCAAGACTGTCTCAAAAACAAAAACTGAGCCAGGCATGGTGGCTTATACTTGTAATCCCAGCTACTTGGGAGGTAGAGGGCAGCCTGGGCAAAAAAGTTATTGAGACCCTATTTCAAAGAACAAGCTGAGCGTGCTCATAATTCCAGTAATGTAGGAGGCCAGCCTAGCCAAAAATACGAGACACTTTGAAAAATAACTAATGCATCTAGGACCGGGGTCATGCCTAGCAAGTGTTGAGACCTGAGTTCAAATCCCCAGTACTGCCAAAAAACAAAAGCAAAACCAAACTTAAGTCAGTGTAATGATTTAGTTTTGATTTTATTGTAATGTGATCTTTTTATAATCACTTAGATTCATTATTTAAATTTATTAAAGTCACTCAGTTTATGAATTTTATGATGACAGACATGTTTTGTCTGTAGCCAGTAGCCAGTAACAAAGACTAAAGTCTAAAGTCTTTGGGAGAGTGACTTTCGTGCAGATTTTATTGTGAATGTCCTCAGATTCAGTCAACCTTCGCAAAGAAGGGTAATATTGTTATCCCTTTTCTTATTCTCTTGTAGCCCTCTCGTCCCCACTCTACCTCCCCTTCAACAGGGCTTATTTTATAGTCCTGGCTTCTAATTAAAGATCAGCTTTTAAAATAAATGTCTTTTGCCTCCACTGCCCCCATTGGTTTTGACATCAACAGGAAACATGGCACCATTTAGTGGTGCTTATGATGCCAGATCTTTTGTGCTAACAGGTTGCGTGTTTGGAGTAAGCTTTGTGACTCATGGTATTAGAATCTTCCAAGACATGTTTGGCATGAGCAATAGTTAGGTGCCGTTTCCACTGATTACCATGCAGGGTATTCATAAATTGTATTAACAAATTAGAAGTTCTCAAATTTAACATTACTTTCAAATTTAGTGTGTTTATACATAACCTTTTTTAGTTAGATCACTTGGCTTTCAAATTTGTTTTTGGATAGTCAGCAAAAGGAAGGCCACTAGAAGAGCTCTTCCTTCCTTGTCAGCTGTCCTGTGCTAAGCAGTACCTTTGTTGCAGATGGATAATGCGCAGGACCTGCTCTCCTTCGGTGGCCTTCAAGTGGTGATCAACGGACTGAACAGCACAGAACCTCTGGTGAAGGAATATTCTGCATTCGTGCTAGGTGCTGCCTTTTCCAGGTGAGCAGCATGGGTGAATTCCCATTGGCCAGGATTGTGTGGCCTAGTTGGCGTGGAAGAAGGTTTCACTTCCACTTGTACACATCTCTACTCAATATTTCAGTGAAATATCAGTGTGAAACTAGAATTTGATTCTGTCTTTATTCCAAATAGACAGATATTTTCACCCATGTTATCCCTATCTATGACTCTTTGTTCCCTCCGTCTTATAAATATCAACATCTAATAAAAGATCCTGAGGTCACATTCTCTGTCTTAGTGAAAGCTAATAAAAAGCTAGACCAACAATAGGTAGTAAGTGATGGAGAGAAATAAACTCCAAGAGTTGACCGTTTTGGCAATAATGCTACATCTAGAGAATAAATGACGAACCTCAAGGAAAACCTTGTGAGGAGGGAAATATGACAAGAAGTCAGGTTATTGGCACTCTCAGGTTGAGATTTCTTTAGAATTTCAATTAGTCTGGCTTGTGCTAGAAAACTGATTAGGAAAGAGAAAAGGGGAGACAGTATCTTGAAAGAATGGATTCAGAAAGATACGTGCTCATCCAAGGTCAGGATATTTTCATGCTGTAGTTTCGTCCACTGGAGTGCTACAGTTCTTCCCATTTAAAAAAAATCTGCTCCTAGAACCTCTTGTACCTTGAAAACAGTTACAGATGCTCTGATTCTGGCTTCAAAGAGCTGTGTGGTGGCTACTCAGGTTGCCTTGCATAGATGTAGGGTTTGTGATGTTGCAGGAGGACTATTGTGAATATATTTACCCTTGTAAAGTTTGAGTTTTTCTTTGCTTTTTACCATGCTCATGTTGACTTAATCAGCATCTCAATCGAATGCCTTCTTATGCTAAGAGGTCAGCGTCTTTTCATAGTAAAATGAAGGGCAGAGTTGGGTAGGCCTTCAAAATTGTTCCATGAGGAGAGGCTAAGAGCAGTACAGGCTTTTGTTTTCCTTATTATTTCTATTTAGATCTTCAGGCCCTAGTTGTCCTGTGGTTGTATTATGGGATGACTTCCAGGCACTTCCATCTCCTTGGTCTCATCTCCCTAAGTCAGAGTTTTCCAGAAAGCCCACGGGAATCTAATCCTGTGCAGCCACTGGAAAGGTGGAGAATCTGTAAGTTTGTCATTGTTAGCTGTGGTTTCTGCCTAGAGAAGTCCAAGGTCTTTTCCTCATAAGGTTTTAGAGACTTAAGTACTAAGTCTTGCCTTTCTTTTCAAGTCAGAAATGAACTAAATCAAACATTAACCTTTTCTTTTCTTTCTTTTTTTTAAATCTTTGCCTTACTCCCAAATACTTTCTTTTTACCATAAGTATGAGCAGGTTCTCCTACACATTCATGGTAGAAACTCTAGTATTACATTTTAGTTAAGAAGCACATATTAGATCTGCTTTTAGCAAACCATAACTCACCTAGAGGCTGTGCCAATATGTGGTATTAGGACTTCTCCATGATCATATCAGCATAATACCATGTTAACACTTATGCATCACTAAAATTTAGAGATAAATATAAAATACTTCAACTTAAATTTTTGGTGGTAAGCAAACTGCTGTATTCAAAATGTTCTAGCTGAGTTGTTTTTTTTTTTTAATCTTTTTTTACATTTACTTACATGTGTATACATTATTTGGGCCACCCACGCATACCACCCCCCACCCTGTACTTCTGGGCAGAACCTTGTTCTCTGATTTTGTTGAAGAGAAAACATAAGATATAATAAGAAAAACATAGCATTTTTGCTAGTTTGAGATAAAGATAGCTGTACAGAGATTCCTAGTGTTGCTTCCATGCACATGTATATTCCAACCCATATTGGTTCCTCTCTATCAGACTTCTTCACGACTTCCTAGTCCCCTTCCCATAGTGGTCTCTGCCAGGTTAAGATTACTATATTCGCTTATATTTAGTGAGCGCCTCAACCACATTCATGTTTTACTAGCTGAGTTTTTGATAGGTCACTGGAGAGCTGTTATGGTGACAGCATAGTATGGCTCCAGAGCTTTTCAAAGCCAACAGCAGGCTCCCAACCATTATGAAAATGTCAAGTGTTTTACGCAAAGAGGAGTATGGTGCAAGTAAGACTGTTTCTATGGAGAGAGGCAGGTTTCAGTGTTGTAAATGTGCATTATTTACTTTTGATGTCCTAAGTATTGTCTCTGCACCTCTCTAATTGTTCTTAGCATACGGGTGTGTACCTACATGCCACACGTGTGCATACACAATGACTGGATAAACACTTTGTCAAAAGAGCATTCAACAGATAGCACCTGGAATCATGAACTCTTCTTTGTGCCCATAGACAATCTTTCTAAGCCTTACCTTTTGTTTATTAACTGGGAACAATAATAACCTCACCTTTTATTTATTAACTGGGAACAATAAAAGGGGTCTTGTTCATTTTATAAGGTCGAATATCAAATAACAAAATATATAATGCTTATATTGTATATTTTACACAATACAATTTTATATAAGGTGTTATCAACATCACCATCACCCTCATCATGATGTGTCTTTTTTTTAACTAATTTCTCCTGTAAGGAAAGTGTAGAATACTTTCTGTAGTATAATACAAACCTTTTCCTTCTCATTTTCTCTTCTGTTTAGGTGTTTATGTTATACTGAATCTCTTGATGCTAATCTTGCCACTTGGTAAGGGTGTCTATTTGCTCAGGTTAATTGCTTAATAAGGCTTCTTCCATGCACATTTTTGTGGATGAAAAGATCTCTTCCTTGAGTTAAATGTGAAACAATTACTCCAAGATCAAGAAAGAGAAAGATAACATGATGATGTAAGATGAATGTAACTGACATGGCCACTGAAATAAAGTTTGTTTTTTATTTAAATATTCACACCCAATTATGGGTGCACATATTCATTTTCTGTTGTTTTTTTTTAAACCCTTGTACAGATGAAACTTTTGTGTAAGGAGATCTGTAGGGATAGGTGTGCAGATGCTTTTAGCAGATTTGCTTTTTCTGGCTTCATTCTTTTTTAAAACCTTTTTAATTCTTCAAGTAAATTATTTTCATTACTCTTTCTGTGACCTGATTTCATATCATGATGGAACCTGTGTGTGTCTTGTCTATATGACTTGCTGAGAGTCTCAGACAAGTCCTTTGTGTTTCTGTATAAGAGAAGTCTCAGAAAGACCTCATGAATTTCAAAGGCCATACAGCTTTCTGTAATCTGGTTTGGTTTTACTTCTCAACAAACTGATTGCCTGCTTGCTTTTGCTTTTCTGTCATCTCCCTGTATATAGCCTTTACCATTTAACTGTCAAGAATTAAACTATCAAGAAACTAGTATGCCTTTCCCCAGGGAGTGTTGGTTTTGACCAGTCTCATGTCTCTGCCTCAGTCACTTTTGGTTTCTTATTGCTGTCTTTAAGAATCCACATTCACATCTGTATGTGTATGGATTATTATGCATTTACATGGGCTTGCAAATATTTGCATAATGCTTTTTTTATGTTAGTCCTGAATTTTATTTATTTATTTTTTTTTTATTTTTATTTTTATTTTTAAATTATTCATATGTGCATACAATGCTTGGGTCATTTCTTCCCCCTGCCCCCACCCCCTCCCTTACCACCCACCCCACCCACTCCCTCTACCCCCAACCCCCTTAATACAAGGCAGAAACTATTTTGCCCTTATCTCTAATTTTGTTGAAGAGAGAGTATAAACAATAATAGGAAGGAACAAGGGTTTTTGCTAGTTGAGATAAGGATAGCTATACAGGGAGTTGACTCACATTAACTTCCTGTGCGTGGGTGTTACCTTCTAGGTTAATTCTTGATCTAACCTTTTCTCTAGTTCCTGGTCCCCTTCTCCTATTGGCCTCAGTTGCTTTCTTTTTTAAATTTTTTTTTATTATTATTCATACGTGCATATAATGCTTGGGTCATTTCTCCCCCCTGCCCCCACTCCCTCCCTTACCACCCACTCCGCCCCCTCCCTCTCCCCCCCACCCCCAATAATAGGAAGCTCAGGGGCCTATGCTGATTTGGCCCAGGGTTGTCTCTGGGAGTACCACATACCGCTTAGCTTACCTTGTGGTCCGCGTCTTCCCAAGCCATCTGGGCGCCAGCGTCTGGAGGCGGCCCCGGTGGGGGGGGGGGGCCCTCCTGGTTTCTCCGTTTAATGTGAAGTGGAGATGCGCTGCGCAGGCTGGAAGTGTGGAGGGGTCAAAGTTTTGCCTCTTCTCGGTGGTTTTGCCTCTTCTCGGTGTATATCCAGCGTCTCTCCAAGTTTTTACTTTAGGAGGCACGCTTTCTGCTTCCTCCCTCTAGCCGCCATCTTGGAATCCCTCTTGCATTACGCTTTTATTTGAACTGTACAATGTGCAGGATGGCATGGAACTTAACCCAGTACAAAAAGGAATGTACACATGCCATCAGTCATGGAAAGATTATGTTCCATAATGATGGATCTCTGAAACAAAATCCTGTTCTAACTTCTCTTTCCTTAGCAGATTCTGGATTTATATACTAATCCCTTAATAAAATGAATGTGTCCCTGCACAACACAGCCCTATTCTGCTGACTCTAATTCTCTCAGTTGTGTTCTTCCCACTGAGGTTTTACCAGTGTTTAACCATTTGGCCAGACTCATATCACCATGTTCCATCTCTGAGTGCTAACCTTCAATTTGCAGGTTTCTTTCCTGTAACTTTCACTGAATTTCAGTGCTCATCTCCATCTTCTGTCTTCTCTTTGCTGATGGCTTTTTGTGGGCTCATTGGGGACCAACATTCTCAGTTCCCTTGTGTACTTCTGTCATCTATTAGATACCTTGAAATTGGTTTCCCATTTTTTCCAACATTTCATATTATCTAGCTGCCACCAGTACCTATTTACATCTTCATGTCTCATGTTGAACATATTTGTTGTCCTTGAGGCCTCCAGCCTCAAGGTCACTGTCAGTGTTCCTTACTCCTCCTCTCTAGGCAATTTCCTTTTAGTTCATGGTGTACTCAAGCTACTAATTGACTG